ACGCAGACACGACGTGGCAAGTCACACTGAAGCACAAGCACAGGGGCCGAAGTCACAAAGTTGCAATCTTGGATTCCGAACACAAAGTCGCAGCAAGTCACACTGAAGCACAAGCACGGAGGCTGAAGACTGAATGCCCCAACGGGGCTCGAGTCCGGTCTTAAGTACCGGACTCAGGCTCAGTCCGGAGGGCCGAGGTGCGGCCTGCCTCAGGACTGAACTGTGGGTCACAGGTCTGAGTCTGGGCGCCAGAATGCCGGATGGCGCCAAGTGTCGAAATCCGAAAGTGCCAAAGGAGGGATTTGAAAACGGGCGCCAACTGCAGAGGGCGCCAACAGTCAGAAACCGAAGAGCAGGAAATCAAATAAAAAATAAAAAATAAAAAAATTGCAGGCTGGCGGGTGGTACGCAGCGGACCAGGGATCGAGCCCTGGCTGAGTCCGTAACACTATCCCTCCCTCTAGAAGGCAACGTCCCGGGTGCCAAAAGCCATGAAACAATGCTGAAGTCTGGGAAGGACGTGACGGGGCCGATCACTGGTCAACATGTCAAAAGGAAGAGGGGTATAATGTGGGTGTCCTGGGTCGGGGAGTAAGAGGAAACAGGGTTATCCTATCAACGAGCTAAGGGGTTTTGCACGATATTTCTACTGATGTGCTAAGGGGGCTGGGAAGCACGGGGAACAGGGTAATCCTACCAACGAGCTAAGGGGTTTTGCAGCACACGGAACAGAGTAATCCTACTGATGAACTAAGGGGTTGGAAACAACGGGGAAACAAGGTAATTCTACTGATGAACTAGGAGGTACAGGGCAAAACAGGTTATGTGGTCCTCAAGAAAAAGGAAATTTGGCTTGCAATGTACGGGGCAGGGTTGCTGAGGGTCGGGTATTCAGTGATACAGATTGAAAATTCTGTGTAGCAGTCCATGTAGATGTCTTGAGAACAGGTCTTGAAAGGTGTAGCAGAAGTGTCGGTGAGAAAGCAGTCTTCAGCAGGTCTGTGATGTGGATGGCGAGAGCTTCAGCTTGAATGTCCCAGTAGCAGGATGCGTCCGGTAGTCGGATCTGGTGCTGAGGTCTGATCCGGATAGCAGGTCGCAGACTGATCTTGATGTCCCTGTCAGAGGTGCTGCTCCGGAAGTCTGCGAGTCCAAGGTGCCGGCCAACGGAAACAGCATGGTGGCCAACCAGCTGTCTTATCTCCTCGTACTGAGTTGCAGCATGCCATCGTCCTCGTGCACTTGCCATTAGATCCATTATCGCCGGCGACGCGCAGGGGCCACATAGGGAACTTGGACAAGAGAGACAAGGATGTGGCGGAGGACAGATGGGAGAAGGGGTCGAGACGGAGGCAAGAGCAGATCAGACAGAGGGAGGTCAAGGGGCAAGGGCTTTGCTGGGGGCGGAGGTGTGTGTAGGGCAGAAATGCGGGCTTTTGGCGGGGTCACGACGGGGTTTATGCAGGGGTTCAAGGTTGGGGATGTATCTAGGATATAGGGTGAGCGCGATCATAGGCGCGAACAAGTTTCAGAGCGTTCTTGAGGTTAGAGAGAGGCTCCCATGTAGATTCTTCATCGGGGTATCCGGTCCATTTGACTTTGTATTCTTTGATAGGTTCCCGATGGTCTGATACTTGTGTAGTTCGTCGTCCTATGATGGATTCTACTACGAATTCCGGGCCTGTGGGAAGCATGATTGGTGGAGGTCGGGGGTAAGGTCGGTCAGCGAATTGAGGTGGGGATTCATGATACTCTTTTAGGTATTCTATGTGGAAGACAGGGTGGACACGACTCATGTCAGGGGGGAGTTGGAGTTTGTAGTTGACATCGGAGGTTTTTTCAATGATGGGGAAGGGTCTGAGCCATTTGCTCGAGAGTTTCTTTGACAATCCTTGTTCGGGTTCAAAGCGTTTGGCGGAGAGCCAGACTTTGTCCCCGACTTTGAATTGCAAGTCTCGTCTGTGTTTGTTAATCTTGTTTGCTTGTTATTCTTGTGTTCTTTCAAGGGCTTCGGTTGCTTCGATTCATTGTTGCTACCCATTCATTGAGGGAAGGGCAGGGTGTGGACGGGTTGAGCTGCGAGGGAAGCGGGAAGTCGGAGGGCAAGCGAGGATGGTAGCCAAGGTCGAGGTAGAACGGGGACATGTCAGTGGAAGGACAGACGGCGTTGTTACAGGCGATCTCGGCGGCTGTGAGCAACTGGTCCCAGTCGTGTTGGTGTGGATGATACTTCCGCAGGATTCTTTGGAGAGTATCGTTCATCTTCTCGGTTTGTCCATTGGTCTGGGGGTGGAATGCAAGCGAATCTGATTGCATTGGGATCGGAGCTGGTACCCGCTATTCCATGCGCGCCGTCGTGTGCAGGGCCTGATGCACCATAGCAGAGGTGGCCGCCAAGGGTCATAGTCCGGATCTGAAGGTGGGAGAAGCCGCCGCGCACCTGCACAGAAGACCACGACGAAGAAGAAGACCGAGAGAGAGAGAGAGAGAGAGAGAGAGA